GAACAATGTGATTACGACGCAGAGTTCTGTTTCTCACTAGATCCGTAAAACTCGATCAGCTTCTGCAAAATCAATACTTGCGTCCTCAAAAGAACGATGTAATCAGTGGTTTCTTTGAACAATTAAAAAAAAAAAAAGGAGTTTTTGCAATCCAACTTGGACTAGACTAGACTTCATCTCTTGAATAGGTGGGATCTAGCAGGAGTCCCACCCATTCAAAGGCCATTACATTGCATTCCCGTGCAAACCTAACTGCAAAATATCATTCTTTTAACCTTGTGAATCCTTATTTTTATTTTCTAATTAAATGTATTTTGATTTTGTAAATGCAGACACTGCGAGTGCTGCAGAGGTTGCAGAGTGTACAATCAAGAAGTCTTTTAAAGACTTTTCTCCTTATGCTTCAAGGTTGGTACCCAGTTGGTATGCAGGGGAAGAGGATATCAAGGAGATTTCTTGCCCTCGAGCTTCTGGATCGAAAATGAAAATTCTTCTATTTTCACGGAAGAAAATTGCCAATTAATTATGGCGTTTTAATCTTTGTCCACCTGAGGGTCATAAGACATGCAGGAGTTATAGCTTTTAATAAAGTACTATAATATATTTTCCCTGTCTTAAACTAACGTTTGTGTTTTGATTCTTTTTTTTCTTCTAAATTAAGGGTTACAGCATCAGTGAAGAGAGAGAGAGAGAGAGAGAGGTACTTTATGGTGCGTGGGCCAAAGAGGTCTATAACACCATTTTGGCATGTCGAAAACAGACAATGGTAGAGGACTGGATTAATACAGAGTCAGAAATTTATGTTAAAAAAAGGTAAAATTTAAAAATTTTTTATGAGTTTATTTATCAATTTTTTGGTCTAATTTATATCAATTTTCAATCGATCATTAATTTTATGCACACAACACTTATATTATTCATGTTAAATTTTAAATTAATTAAATATATAATTATTTTTGAATAGCATATAAGTTATATCTATTATGAGAAGCATTTTTAATGCTTTAATCTCTTATTTTAATTTTGATTTTGTTGTTATTTGTGTAACACACTAAATTTTACATCGAAATAAAATTATGAATGTAATTGGTATATAAGTGTAGATATCAATCATTATTAATAATTTAAATTTAAACTTTTGCTAATTTATAAATTTTGACCTAAAAAGTTGTTAGATTAATGGTAAATTTCTACTTAATTGAGTAGGATGTGATGTGATTTGTAAGATATTATACGTAATTTTCATTTTTTGTGAAAAAAAACTTGAATGCACAATAATGTAAGTTTTTGGACTTAATTGAATATCTTTTAAAAGTTAGAAGATTGTATCGTGGAAAGAAAGCTTGCTCTTAGGGACCTAAATCAATTAATTTGAAATTTTAGGACTAAAATGCTCATTGTATATAAGGTAGAAGGCCAGATTACTATTCCACCATTGAAGAAAATGCAAAAAAATCCAAAAATCCACACGGGTTTGATGTTGACACCACCAGCTGGGAGATGCCAACACCACTTGAAAGGTGTTCAGACTTCAGAGTCTTCAGACTATGCTTTAAGCCTTTCCAAAGTACGTGTCGGGGGATCCAAAGAGAAGTACCGACACCTAGGTTGGGGTCCCAACACTCTGAACACTTTCAGCTTTATAAATTTTTATTTTTATCACAAATCTTACATCTTTTTGAATGGTAAGAGAATCTTTGATGAAATTTATAAAAATTTTTATTTTTATTTTTTGTATTATTTATGAGTGAAAATTTTAAATTTTTATTAGAGAAAAAATTTAAA